CCATCACTGCCTCTCTAAGATAAACAAAAACAAGATCAAAAAAATAACCTGTTGCCATCTAGTCAATTCCAATTCACAGCCACTCAGCGTATGCCAGGTTACAGCTCCGTGCCACAGGGTTTCCACTGGCTCATTTTTCACAATTGCATTGCCAGGCCTTTCTTCTGAGGCACCTCAGCACTGGACTCAAAGTTCCAACCTTATAGGTGGCGCTGAGCTGCACCACCCAGGGATCTCCGTCTTCAGCACATCCTTACAACGAGTTGGTGAGCTGGGTGACAGTTCAAAATGACCTGAGCTCCATCCACTCCTAACCCTGCGTGCTGGCTATTCGAACTTGAGTTACTACTGAGCTTTGTCTGAGTGAAATAAAGATAGAACTACCTAAACTGAGGTAGTATTTTGCCAGAATTAAATATGTTTTTAATTAAGCAATAGTACCCGAAGTATTCCGTTTCAGCAAGCAAGCAGGGTTGTGTCATCTGCATAACACAGATTTTTGATAGATCTTCCACCAATCTTGACCCCACATTTCTCCTCATAGAGCCCAGCCTCCCAGATTATCTGTTCCGCATACAGGTTGAAAAGGTATGGAGATAGGACGCATCCCTGGCATACGCCTTTCCCAGTTTTGAACCATGTAGTGTTACCCTGCTCTGTTCGGACGACTGCAGCCTCCAATATGGATTGAGGCTCAATGTCAAAAAGACAAAGATTCTCACCACTGGGCCAACTGGCAGCATCAGGATGGATGGTGAAGAGATTGAGATTGTACACAGCTTTAGTTTGCTTGGCTCCACAGTCAACACTCTTGGCACCAGTAGCCAGGAAATTAAAAGGCGCATTGCCATGGGAAAGTCTGCTGTTAGGGACCTCTCCAAAGTACTGAAGAGAAATGGGGTCTCTCTGGAGACTAAGAAGCGTCTGATACAGGCCATGGTCTTCGCAATCACTTGTTATGCATCAGAGAGTTGGACAATGACCAAGGAGGACAGAAGGAGGATTGATGCCTTTGAGCTTTGGTGCTGGAGAAGAGTATTGAGAGTACCATGGACTGCTAGGAAAACAAACAGATTTGTCCTGGAGAGGGTTAAAACGGGTGGCTCCTTTGGAGGCAAGATTCTGAGGCTCCGTCTAACATACTTTGGACATGTTGAAAGGAGAGACCGGTCCTTGGAGAAGGACATCATGCTTGGGAGGGTGGAGGGACAGCGCAGGAGGGGAAGGCCCTCTATGAGGTGGATTGATTCAGTGACTGGGATAATAGGGATGGGTGGGTCAGAGACAGTGCGATTGGCACAGGACAGAGCGGAGTTTATGGCTGTTGTACATAGGGTCGCTATGAATCACAAGCAACTCAAGGGCACATAACAACAATAACAACCCAAAGTATGTTGTTGTTGTTGTTATACACTGTGAGAGCCGGAATCAATTCACAGCTCACCCGCCAGGAGGTTTTTGGAAACAGTAAACAGCATGGGAGTAAACTGCCCATCTTTCTCTTGTGAAGCAGCTGGTGGATTTGAACTACATGCCTTTGGATTATCAGCACAACTCCTTACCACTAAGCCGCCAGAGCTCGCAGACGGATACTAGTCTAGAAGGTTTCTAGTAGTATCCTCAAGAGCTATTTCTGAGCCTGTCTTATTCTACCCTTTATTAAGACTTGAATGGAAACACAGAAGTCATGATTATCACACCGAAAAATGAAACAAAACTGGGAATGCTACAATGTTGCGTAACATCAAAGAGTCAAGAAGACCTTCAACAAGCAGCAGCTCTGCCATGACAGAAAAAGAAGAATTACAGAGAGGATAAATTAAGATCTTATATTTAAGATCAAAAAGGAAAGAAACTGCACAATAACTAGAACACGAATGAGGGAGCGGATTTTAAAAGAACATGAGATTTTTAATTGGCTACAAGCTCAGTATGAGCCAGAGTGTGATTCATGGCAGACAAAAAGCTGGTACAATTCTATTAGTATTAATGATGGTAAGAGTCCAGCTTGAGGGATTATTTCAGGAATATTTTGCACTGACCACTGTTGCCATTAGTGTAGATAAATTTAAGGAGGACTACTGACCAAGCATTTCCAGAAAATGATACCGTAAATGATGAACAATTTGGACTATAAAATGTACGAGGAACTGGGAATGGTTAGCTTGCACAACAGAAAACCTGAAGGGAGATGTCACCTGTCTTCCAGTATCTCAGGAGCTTTCATATGCAAAAAGAATTCCTTTTATTCCTATGTAGCTCCCAACAGCAGAATCAATGCCTCCATGGACAAATAGGTGGAATGCCCTAAAAAACAGACCTTCCAAGAGCTGACACTAGATTGGGCTGGCTTAGTGGTGATGCATCCTTTCCCTATGACTATTCAGAAATTCATTTTCAATAAAAATTTACCTCAGGTAGTGTTCAAAGCACAAATCATAGTGAGTAAAGAACTGCCACGATCTCTGCTGTTCACTGAACGTAAAGTCTAGCCATGGAAGTAAATATGTCACACTCTGCCAAATGCAAAAATGACAAACCTTAAGTGTCTAAAGAAAAGGAACATAAGTCTTCAAGAGCATGGTTTAACCAAGGATCTTGGCTCACAGTGTGGCATCAGAACAGCCTTAAGAAGCTGAGTGATCTGAGTAGGAGTTAAATGGACAAGGGAAGAGAGTCTGCACAGAAAAATAACCATACATGCAAAGCCTCATGTGGTACACAGACTACCGCAGGTCCAAGGGACTGCACAGTTTACGTGACCAGGGTGCAGAGCAATGGGGGCAAACAGAGAGAAGCAGGAACAGAACCACAAAGACCCCCTGAACATTCAGGAGTAGTCTTCTCTTCACCCCAAAGCAACGGGATGCTATTGAGGGAGGGTTTTAAGTGGCCAGGGGATCTGACTACATGGTGAAGCCTAGAGGTGGCCTAAAATGCTGTTGGAAATCACCCAGGGACCTCTTGCAGTAATCCAGGCTAGAAATCTAGTATTTGAGGCAAAAAGAGGTAGAAAGGACAATGAATGCACAGAAGTAGACAGATTGGAGGGATCTTCAAAACATTAAAATGACAGGTCTCATGTGACAAGCCGATAGCTTTGGTTTAGTTCAAGGCAGCAATGCTCCAAGCCAGACTCTCTGGCCTCAATAGTAGGCTGCTTTCAAAGTAGGGGTGAGGGGTTGGGGCCAGAGCTCAGGGACGAATTTTACGGGTGAGCAGAGGGATAGGAGGTACGGTAAGAGAGAAAAGATAATAAGGGTGATGCACCTCCTGATCCCAGGTTTCAATCTATAGTATTGGGTCGATGGTGATACAGAAAAACGAGTTCAGATGATTGGTTTGAACATGTTGTGTTTGAGGGGCCTTGTTTTAAATAAGCAGTCTGACATAATGATCTGGAACTTACGGGTTATGTCGTTCTGGTTTTGGAAAAACTGGTAATTGCGGGCATACAGAGCGTAACTGAAAGCCATGGGCTCGGAGGAGATTGTCTGAGCAGGAAATAGAGCGAGAAGAGGACCTTGAGGAACATCAGGAGAATAACCGAGGAGAGGAGGGTGAGTCGGCAAAAGAGAGGCATGAGTGGACACAGGAGCCACGGTCTCCCAGAAGCCACAAGAGGAGTAACTGCCCAGAGGGAGGCAATCAAAGGTCAACAGGGTTGAGCACTGCTCAGACAGACACCTGTCAATTAAATGCAGGGGCACGTTTCAGTTCAGATGATGAGCCAGAAACCAGACTGCAGCGGGCTGAGGCTTGAGTGGGTGGTAAGCAAACCAGAGATGATAAACACAGACAACTCTGTGAAGATCAGAAATCGGGAAGGGAAAATCTGACAGCGGTGGGTGTTGCAAGAGGGTCTGTGTCGCGATGGGAGAAGCTGGACGGTTGTTTATTTTCTTAGAGGGAGCAGGTGAGAGGGAGAGGTTCCTAAGAAGGTGGAATCAGAAGTGAGTAAGCCTCAGGTCCAAGGGGTGCTGGTGAGAAAGGAAGAAGAGAGGGGCCAAAGTAAATGACCTTTAAGGCCGCTTGACTCTAGAATCTCATGACCTGCCCCTTACCTTTAGGCAGTGCATCTGCATGGATGCACACAAATGTATACAAACATATTCTAATATTAATCAATCAATCAAGCACGCATGGAGCCCGTCATGACGCAGTCAGTGCCCCCAGGTTTTTGGGCAATTTCATATCCCTGGCAGAAACCAGCCCTCGAAGAGCTCTCTGCCCCATGGACACTGCAATAGAGCGCAGTGACAGCCCTGTCTCCCCCCGCCAAACCCCACCTCCGCGGCGATCCTAGCAGCTGGAGGAGGAAGTCAAATGTAAAGCCCTGGAACGACAGCCGTCTGCTGCACTAGATGCTACTGTCATTCATTTTAAAAAAAAGACGTGACACCCGCACACCCATCACGCGAAATCCTTTCCTGCCTGACCTGCCCGTGACCGGTCCCAGATGGCCCGGGGTTAGCCCAGTCAGCTGCACCCTCTCTGCGGTTCTCAAGCCCTCTGCTGGGGGAGGCTGCAGCACGCGGCTCCCGAAACCCCTAGCACAGCCCTCGCCCGGCCCCGCGGCACAGGCTTCCCTGCAGTTTCCCCGGCGGCTCCACCTCCCGAGAGCCCTCGCAACCCGGTGCGGAGAAAGCCCCGCGCCCTGGAGACGCCGCGGGACCCGGCACAGCCCCTCGGAGGCCGTGAAGAGCCAGGGCGGCAAGCCGAGGAGCGGACACGGAGATTCGGGGGACATGCAGGGGACACAGGGGGCGACGCGGGTCGCAACTCCACTCGAGCTTCCCGAAGGGAATGGAGTTTGGAAGCAGAGTTAATCTCCTTCGACCGCTCTCCCCCCCGGCTCCCCCTCCAGCCTTGCTCTCTGGCTCGTGCCCCCTCGAACGTCCCCGTCTGCTCAGACTTCTTCCTCCTTCCCTTAGAAAGGAGAGTTCCGAGCTCAGAGTGCCCGCGAGCCCAGAGCCCCCCGGCTCCCGGCCAGCACTCACCCGGCCCGCCATCTTCGCGGACACGTCCGGCTACGCGACTGCGGCTCTGCCTTCCGGAGAGCCCGCCCCCGCCGCGCGCGTGCCCGCCCGCCGCCCG